TTAAACATATCTGCAGAGTCACTTTCTCTTCAGCCATCCCCTGTACAGACTTACGTGGAGGGGAGGGATGGCAGGAGCACAGGAGTGGGAGTCTGGCACCTGGCTCTGTTACTCATTGTGTAGCTGTGGGCCAGATGCTCAGCTCCTCCAGGCCACAATTGCTGAGTCAGTAAAATAAAGGTGCCTGTCTTTACAATCTGTCACTATTATTCACGGTAATTCTCTGGTTGCACTAAGCTGTGTGTTTCCTAGTCCCTCAACTCTTGGCAAACATATATATGTTTATATGTTTTTATATGTGTGTGTATATATGTTTATATATGTGTATATATGTGTATATATATGTGTGTGTGTGTATATATAGTCTTACAGAGCATGCAATTCCCCTTGAACACCAGCACTTCATCCCATGTGCCCCGTCCTTGCAGTGGGTTAAGGGCTGAGAGCCAGGGAAGGAACAACTGCTCTTTCAGAGGTCAGCGCAAAGAGAGGAGAAGCCAGAGGACTCAGACACCAGGAATTCTATTTACATTTACAGCAGCAGAGGCCACGTAGAAATATTAATAGCTTTGGGCTTCAGTTCCCAAATTACAAAACAAAACAAAACAAAAATGCCATTTGGTTGGAACAGAAATTTCAACTCAGATTTTTCTGAAACTCTTTATTTATATATACTTCTTTATTAGTTAAAAAAAATATTCTGGAATTTTTGTTCTTTTCTTTTTCCTGGGAGGTGGAAAGAAAACAACCTTTTTATATTTATATTAATATGAAAAATCACTGGAAAAGTCATGAAATTTCCTCATGATGACTGTATATGGCTAACAGTAAAAATACCAAGTGTACACATATTTGTAGCATGAATCATCTCTTAAAATGCCCCATGGCTTTTCCTTTAAATAATGAAAAGTAATTAGCATTCAGCATCACTAGGTTGCTAGCAGCTGTTGCAACCTGATCATTATTTCTGTTAGATCTTTGGGATGTAGTATTTTTGCCCTACAATTCAGACTACATGCTGTCTTTAGCTAACTCAACACCTGAATGAAAAACTTCTCATGAGCCCTCTTCCTAATTGTAAAAATTAAAGATATCCTCTCTGTATTAGGAGCTTTAGAATAACCATATTTTTAATAAGTGCCCCTATAGATTTTGAATTCACAATGTATTTCAAATTTGGCTTATTTTTCTCAATGCAGGGTGTGTCCGATCTGAAGTCAGGATGAACCCATAGTACAGTTACTAATGTGGCCTTGGGTAATTCTGCCTGGCTGGCAGTTTTGGGATTGGTTGAATCCTAACTCTATTTTCAGAGGAAACTGGGCTTTGTCCCCTTGGCAAAAAGGGGTCACTGGCAAGGTGCTTGGGCCAGAGGAGGGGCCAAGGTGTTGATGGCAACTGTGGTGGGCAGCACAGCTGCCAGGAGTCTTGGTGATGGGAGGAAGAGTAATTCTTAGCCAGTGATATTCTTTGGACATCTTACTCAACATCGGGGGACTCTAATCTATAATGAGCACTCAGGAATATAAGGCTTTGGGAAGCGCCTACTATCAACCTCCTTCCCATGAAGTCAGTCTTTGTAGATGGAAGGAATAGTGAGTGACTTGGGGTGGACTGTGAGTGGGGTGGGGTGGGGAGTAGCACCTCTAGTGGCAGAAACTACAGATGTTCATCCTAACTTTGAGGAAGATGGTTGTCATTCACTCAGGTTTGAGATGTGCAGGTTTGGGGGCAGAGCTGAATTTCTCAGGGTCATAGAGGAGACAAAGATGAACTGTACCCAGGGGCAGAGGATCAATATGGGACAGGCCAGGCCATGGGTGGCTTGGGTCCACAGCTCAAGTAATTGCTCTGTTTGACAAGGGGCAGATCTTTATTCCTGCTGGATACACAATCAGCTCAGTTGTGGAGGTAGGAGATGTGGGAGAAATTATATGGATTCTAGTCTAGAATAGCTTCCATTATCTCCCTCACTTTTTCTTGGCTGAGTATGCAATAGAAGATGCTTTGTGTTTTAGACTTTCGTTAACGTGTGTACCAAGCACCACTATGGAACTAGCCTAGAGGGCAGTGTGAGCAAGTGTCACCTGGCCAGGACCACCTTCTGCTTCCAAGTTCCAGTGCCTGGCAGCACTCAGCCTCTCTCTCACCTCAGGAGTTCAGTCTGTGCTATGTTGGCCTCTTCCACACAACATACACTGTGGTTAGAACAACTACAGGTGACTGGCCTCATATCATGGAGAACATCTTTCAAATTGTTTATGAGGTTTCAGGGTTGAAAAGCCACAGAAGGCTTTCATGGGAAGCACCTTAGGCACTGGACCTTGGCCCAGCCATGTAATGAGAAGGTCAGCGTGACTGGGAGGGAGTGAACAAGGGGCAATGGAAAGACATGAGGCCAGAGGTGTAATGGGGAGGCCAGGCCCTGGAAGGCCTGTGAGTCATGGTATGGACTTTGGTTTTTATTCTGAATGAGATGCGGTCTGTTGGAGGATTTGGGCTGAGGTTTGACATGAATGGACTTGTGTTTGTAAAGAATCATCTTAGCAGATGTGAGAGAGTAAAGGAAGGGGCAAAGCTGGAAGCAAAGATGCCAGATAGGAGGCTTTTGCAATGGCTCAAGCAAAAGATGATGGTGGCCTGAGCCTGGGTGGTGGTGGAGGAGATAATGAGAAGCAGATAGGTTGTGGAGACAGATATTTTAAAGGTAGAGCAGACAGGAGTTGTGGAGGAATTGGCAAAGAATGTGAGGGAAATAGAGGAGGCAAGAAAAACACCAAGGGTTTCTGTCTGGTCACCTAGATGACTGGAAGGATCAGGCTTGAGGGGGAGTTCATAAAGTCAGTTTCAGACATGCTAAGTATCAAACTGAGATTCAGGAAGCCATGGGTTCTAGTTTCAGTCTGGGCTCTGTTGCTCCAACTTTTTGGGTACAAGTATCCTCAACAACTGATGTGAAATGCACCTTGCATTGTGCACATTCTATGACCTATGAAGCAACATTGGGAGCTGACTGAAAAGCTTTAACATTTGTCTGCATTTACTACTAGCTATAACTGGATGTGGGACAGCTGAGCGACAGAACAGAAATTGTTCACAGTGGTCCAGCAGGGTCAGGACGGGATGTGGGTGTCACCAAAGAGCATAGACTATCCCTACCCCGACTTCCTCCTTCCAAGCTAACCTCAGCTTCTGAGCTTGTAGAGCCATGTCAGTGGAGGGATTCTGTCTTGACTGATGTGTTCCCTTAGGTTTAAATCTAAGTGAGAGGTGCCTAAAATGAGACCAATATGTGCTTACCTTTACCACACTGATTTAAATCAGAGAACTGGTCATCCATGTGTATTTGAGTAGCTGCTGGGTGCAAGGCCTTGTGACCACCTCTGAATTTGATTAGTGTCTGACTTCTTTCAAAAACATTGCAAAATTGCAATTGTCCTTATTTTAAAGACCTTTGAAGGTTGCAACTAAATCATTCTTTGCTAAAGAAACATACTTTTTGAAAGCCTCTCAAAATGCAGTTGAGTGAATACTTGTAGCATTTGATGACATTGAAGTGATACTTTTAAGTTAAATAGTTCTTTAGAAATCTGATCATGGTATTTTGGATACTGGCTGTATTCAATATTTGAAGCAAAAATCCAGGTGTTTTTCTTCCCCCCTCTGAACAGACCTGTGGCAAATACACCTTCAGTTTCTGCCATAGTATGACTTATCCAGTGACTGTGACTTCAATTTCAAAGGGTTCCGCTGAATCTCACTATAGAACTGTAGGGTAATATTGGTGCTTTGCCCAGAATCCTCCTGTTCTCACCCTTTTGGTTTTGGCACCTTCCTGTCCAACAACACTTGCACCAGCCACCCTCAGGTTCCTTGAGTCTGCCTTGCCTGCAGGCACAGAGAGCCAGTGGGAGTGTCTGGGAATGTTCCATCAGTCCCTCCTGCAGCTGTTAGCTAATGGCAACAGCTTCAGTAGTATAGAAAAGCCCAGTGCCGTTGCCTCAGTATAGGACAACTCTGAGTGGTAACTTACATTCCAGAGCCCCACTGATTGGGTTAAGAGGAGATTTTGCCTGATGTCATACCCTTGCTTGGATTTCTCCTCTTCCCTTTCCTGTTTCTGCCACTCTCTTACTGGTCTCTCCTGAGAGCATGTTTTCAATCATGAATTTGCACACACTAATCTTCATCTCAGGGTCTGCTTCTGGGGAAACTAATTTAAAAAAAACTTTATCCCTGTGTTTCCCAAACTGAGCACCGAAGTGCCCCAGGGCTACAGAGAACTCCCAGGGGGCACTGTGAGCTATTTTCAATTTTCTAAAAAACAAAACCCAAAACACCCTCAGTGCTCCTCAACATCCATCAGATACAGCAGGAACAACTGAAGGCAGTTTGTGATTTCAATGTTAGGTCATCCTGCCTTCCTTTAGCTGATGGCATATCTTTCAGAAGCTGAGTTTTCAGTGGTTGCTATGATAAAAAAACAAGTACTCTATTAAAGTCAGGGGAAGAGAAAACAAGGATGGTGAAGTCCAAACTGATTTCCAGGCTTGAGAAGTTGTTTTGTGTCCACTAATGCACACACTTGCATTAATAAATAAGTGTGGCTATGAAAATAATCTTTTGATGTAATGTATTATTTTTTTCAAATGGATACCAATTTGTTATGGCATAAATTCTTACCAAGTTGGGTCTACCTAAATTTTGGAACATTTTGCTCTTTCTTTTGATCTTAGTGTACTATGAAATATTGCTGAGTGAGTAAGGGTGGTGGCATAAACCAAATAAGTTTGGGAGGCCTCTCCTCCACACTGATAAAGATAGTTTAAATGTGTTTTGAATTAAAATGGGTGAAGTGTTCAAGTACCAAATAACAGTCCCCAGTGCAAATAAACTAAGTGCTTTGTGTGTTCTTTGTACTTCTTCATAGCCTTGTACTTTTATGAATTGTCACACTGGGGTTTTAAACGTGAACATGTTCTCTTGTTTTCTTATTTCAGAGAGTGGGTTAATCGAGCCCCATCTATTCATTTTCTGAGAGTGTTAATCTGTCTGAGGCTACTAATGAGGGATCCATGTTATCAGGTTGGTTGGAAAAATATACGTATATATATTTTACTTGTTATAAAGTCATAATAAAAGACTGGTGGGCTTTTCTTTGAAGTAGTCCATGTTTACTTTTTGTTTTCTCTCTCACAACTCAATAGCTTCCATATATGGGGAATGTCTCATCTACTATTTAAAAAGATTTGAGAGGAGCACTTTAATGGGGACAAAAAATTTGTATATTTCTGTTGTATTACTTATGGGGTTAAGTGGATTGAACTTTTTGGTCTATGTTTTCTTTGCTACCTGGCATTTTAAAACATTTACCGTTCAAGGAGGTATACGCTTGGCCACAGCTTCAAACGTGTTCAAGGTCAAGCAGCTCCCTAGGTCTAAGTCAGCAGTGATGAGTGGTGGCCTGCTCATGTGGCTGAGAAGCAGCCAGTGGAGCTTTATTAGCTGCTCCAGGGTCAATCCCTTCCCAACCTCTAGAGTCAAATTTGAGTTAGAGGTGAGCAAGGAGCCTCTCACGTTCCCCAGAGGAGGGCACTGAGGTCAAGAATCTTTTCCTGGTTGGGCGTGGTGGTTCACACATGAACCACCATGCCTGGCCTCTGATTTTAGTGCCTCTCAAACTTTAATGTGCATGGGAATCACCTGGACATCTTGTACATGCAGAATCTGATTCAGTAGGTATAAACAAGATTCTTCATTTCTAACAAGTTTCCCAGGGATGCTATTGCTACTAGTTCATGGCCCATACTTTGAGTAGCAAAGACATAGTGCTTTAGCTGTGAGGCTCTAAAGAAAAGCTTACTTAACACTTTTTTTTTTTTTAACCAAAAAAGTATTTCCTTTTATGCCCTGTCCTCATAAGCTACTAGGAAGCTCACACCTTTAATTTTGAACTCGATGTTATTGATGAATTACTATTTGAGTCAGCATATGTTTCCTTTAAGTGCCAAGTTTGGAAAAGTAACCATCCTCTGTTTTACAGGGAAGCCCAATGCCATCCCGGTGGGAGCTATCTTATTTTCTCTTTGTTGTTTGAAATATTTGGGTTATCCTGTAACTCTACCTTCCTCATATTTCAGAAGTAACCATATTTTCCATACTCGGCATTTGAGAAAGTATTTTGGTATCAACCAGCCACAGAGCCTACTCTGATTGGACTCTTCTGGGATTCATGGGCACTACACATCTTTCCATTAGAAGAATAGTCCTCTTCCTCATACTGTGTTCTAAACTGGCCTTGTGCTATTGTAATTTAGTTAACCACAGCCCTTTGGATATGTGAGCCAGGGCATCCTTGAAATGGCTTTCTGTCCTTGTTGCTCACAGTTTTCTGGGTAGGTAAGCATCCTTATTTTCCTGTGACCAACCATACAGAACTGTGTGTTCCACGCATTTCTGAGCTGCTTTTTGCAATTCTGTTTGGGTCATGTATAAATGAGCATGGGTCATACGTTTCCTTTTGCCTGGATCAGTCTTATATGCTCACTGTTCCCACTTAATTATTCATAGCACCCTCTTTTATTCCCCAATGTGTCTCAGTTTAGATGAAAACATTCTATGTATAATATTAATAAAGTTTTCCAGGAGGAAGGTCCGGTTAATCTGACTTGAACTAGCAAATATTTGTCCTAGAGATGTTCTGTTTGTTCAGAAAAACTGTTGATAAGAGTGTCTTACTCTGCTAATCTCCCATCTAAAGTTCTGCCTTTCTTAGTCTCGTTCTGGGTAGATTGAACAGGGTTGATTGTACTGCCCTCTGAAGGAAAAAATTCAGAGACGACTTTGTTTATGAGATTTTGTGACCAAGACACATATTAAACGAATATTGTCCTGCTGGCCAGCCTCTCCATAGAAGGGAATTATCTCCGAGTCTGTCCTCCCTGGCACTCTTTCCGTACAGAAGACCACGTGCTCAGGCAGTTGTTCAACATCTTGAGGTGCCAAGAATTGTTGGCTGAAGTCACAAAGCTATGCTGGGGTTTACTATGACTTGTGACTTACTTACGCCAGTGACTGTCGGCATGCCTTTTTCTTGGGTATCTATTCCTTTCCTCTCTTGTTTGGTCAGTACTGCAGGGTCCATAGCGGCTCTTCCAAACCATCTTCACTTTTCTCACCCAAACCCTCTCCTACCCCATGATTCTCATCAAATTATATCATCCTCTGTTTTACAGGGAAGCCCAAGGCCATCCCAGTGGGAACTATCTCATTTTCTCTTTGTTGTTTGAAATATTTGGGTTATCCTGCAACTCTACTTCCCTCATATTTCAGAAGTAATATTCCTCCTCCTGGCCAAGGCTTACTCTTCTACCTGCTCTCGCTCTGTTTTTCCTTACCATAAAAATGTCCTTCTCTTGACCCAGCTATTCCTTCAAGTCCTTCTCCTACTTTCATACTCTATTTCTTGAAAGGTTAGGCTATGTCTCTTGAATCCAGTTCCTTTCCACCAGGACTGATGTATTGCATAACTTGCACAGTGAATTCTATGTACAAGGGTCTCTCTGGAAGCCATTTGAATAGACCACACTGGGCCACGCTGCAGTCCTCATTCCTTGACTTAGAGGTTGCAAACTGGTAGCTTGTAAATTGGATCTTTCCTGCCAGTACAGAGTTTCCACTATATGTTTAGTGAATGTTCCAACCAGGAAAGACTGGAAGGAATGACAGAGAAGCCATTTTGAAGATATAATTGTTTAGAGTTTTTCAGAATTAAAGGAAGACACGTATTGAGATTTCAGTTGCAGCTGGAGTCCCAGGCAGGATAAAGATAAGCGTTCACCTGGATTCATTATAGTGAAGCCATAGTACATTGCTTATCAAAGATAAAGAGAAAACCTTAAAAGATCCCGAACTGCAATTATGTTAGAAACAATAATAAAAAATAGTTGGATTGAGTAGTCTTCTCTCAGCGCTTACATTCCCCAACCTGTTTATAGCAGCAGGTACACTTTACCACGTTTTCTCTTTGCCTGTACTGATCCTGAGAACCTCTAGCTTTTATTCAGCATATTTGGAGTATTATTTACGCGTTCCTCTTCTTCACCTTGTCTTCCTAAATAACCTTCCCCAAAGTTTTTTTTCTTTATTGTCTTCTCCCATATCTTCCAAGCTCTTGGCTTCAACTATCTTTTTGTTGTTGTTGTTTGTTCACAAGTTCATATCTTCAGCCTCAAACTTTCCCCTTTAAGTCCCAAGTTTCCAGAGACATGTTAGACAACCACCTCGATGACACAGTAGCACAGTGGTTCTCAAAATGTGGCCCGTGTACTGTTTACAGGTTTCTGAAACCCTTTCAGGGGTTCCACAAGATGGAATCTATCTCCAACATGATGCTAAATTATTCCAAATGATGTTATTTGTCTTTTCACTCTCTGTCTTACATGTGTGCAGTGGAATTTTCCCTAAGCTACACAACATCTCGTGACATCATGGCCCTGGGAGCTGATGGAACATATGTACTTGTGTATTCTTGTGTTTTAAAAATTTCTTACTTTTAATTTCTAATGCAATAAATATAAACAGATACATTCTAATCCATATAAACCAAAGCTCTTTGAGGTTCTCAGTAATTTTTAAGAGCGTAAAGGGGTTTGAGACAAAAACTTTGAGAACAACAATTGTAGCATATTATACTCAATAACTTTATAATGGAGCTCTTCAATTCTTCCCCCCATCCTTGAACTTTTGGAATCAATTCCTCATTCTTTTAATGGCACCATATTTTGTCAGACTCAGCATAGAAAACTTTAGAAGTATCTCTAATATTTCCTTTTTTCTCATGCTCCTACAAATCGAGTATACCAAGCCTTTTAGAAGAGTGTTTACGGTTCCAAACCTAGAAAGATAAGTAAAGGCCAGTCCACAGAGGGGCATTAAAATCATAACCAAAGAATAAACTTTATGGAGCCACTAATGATTTTTGGACAGAGGAGTAAATG